AGAGTACTGTTCCATAAACTCATTTCAGTCTTTATGGCGACTTCACATTGTTTTGTGGCCGAGAAACGAATCCTGTATGCAGCAAAGTCACAGTCTGAATGGCGTTGGAGAAAAGGTGGCCAGACGATTCATCAACATTTTAGGATCCGTGAAAATGTCATCAAGCTCATAAAGTATTTAGAGATGATGCGTTTTGATCTTTGTGGTCACCAATCAAAACGTGTCTTTAGGGGTGGGGGGTGTCAAAGGGCGTCACGGTAACTGTGCTCAGGTAGAGAATTCTCCCAAGGGGATAATGACATTTAAAGTACGTACGTCTTAGACAAAAGAGTAAACATTAACAGACCAACCCCCGGTGAAGACGCAGGGACCGTACAGTCGATGTGGGGAGACAAAGCCTTCTTGTCCGTTCCTTGGCCTCGGCCTCTACTGCTTGTTTTTTGTTTTTTTGCTAACGTTCTCTTTCATTTCACCCTTCGACCTCCAAATGACCTCCAGATTAACCTTCTCTCTCTCTCTCTCTCTCTCTCTCTCTCTCTCTCTCTCTCTCTCTCTCTCTCTCTCTCTCTCTCTCTTTCTCTCTCTCTCTCTCTCCCTCTCTCTCTCTTTCCCCTCTCTCTCTCTCTCTCTCTCACTCTGTCTCTCTCTCTCTCTCTCTCTCTCTCTCTCTCTCTCTCTCTCTCTCTCTCTCTCTCTCTCCCTCTCTCTCTCTCTCTTTTTTGCCTCTTCCTCCTCCTCCTCCTCCTCCTCCTCCTCCTCCTCCTCCTCCTCTTCCTCCTCCTCATCCTCTTTCTTTTCCTCCTCCTCCTCCTCTTCCTCCTCCTCCTCCTCCTCCTCCTCATCCTCTTTCTTTTCCTCCTCCTCCTCCTCCTCCTCCTCCTCTTCCTCCTCCTCCTCATCCTCCTCCTCCTCCTCCTCCTCCTCCTCATCCTCTTCCTTTTCCTCCTCCTCCTCCCCTCCTCTTTCACTGCCCACCTCTGTTTAAACACACATACTTGTAAACTTTCGTACGTGCACTTATATAATTATTTATTATCTTAACGTATAGGAAACTCGAATGAAACATTTCAATTTTAGAGTAAATAAAAGTGTATGGAAAACCGTATCACCTCACGTAGCTCAAATTTTGAATAATTATTTGGTACAGAGTTAAATTTTAAAGATTATCTTGATTCAAGAAGAACAAGTAAGATTTAACTCATAGATTTTTTTTCTAAAATCCTTTCGATGCAACAATTTTAGCGTCTGTGGGCCAAGCTTAATGTGTTGAAAGAGATACCCCAACTTTTCAAAAGTCACTCGCATCAAAATAAAAAACAACAACAAACAAACAAAAACGAAAGATTTAAAAACGAATGTGGCCATCATTAGTAACAAAATACAAATTTGTCTTAGTGATTTAAATAGCGTTCTGAGAGCGAGCGCTGATATTCCATAGTGAATAAAGTATCCTTTCAAACGAACATACAGGGTTTTAGAAAAAAATGTGAGTTAAATCGTACTTATTGTTCTTCTTCAATCACGATAATTCGTAAAGCCTGCCATTCTGTTCGAATATACGAGAGTTCGTTCCCTTTGTCGGACAGACCTCCGTAATCCCTGTCGTGTCGCCCAAAAAACCTTCCACATTGGGGTTAAGATCCGGTAAAAAAGCCGGCCAGTCCATCTTGACCTCTCGAATCTGCTGCAGAAAACCAGATCCATCCTAATGAGCAATGCTAGTACACCTTAGTGGTTCTTAACCCCCCCCCCCCTTGTTTAGTAGCATCACCGAAGTGAAGTGAGGGAAATTCTTGTAAATTGCTTCTCCCAAGTAAACAACGTCGTGCCGCTGATGGGATTCGAACCCACGACCTTTCGGTGTGAGATCTCAAAGGTAAACCAATATGCCACTGGCAGATCTAACTAAATTGATTATTCTGAAGTTAATACGTCCTTATGTTTACGTCCTTTTTGACACAAATTATGTTGATAATTCGCTGCTTTTGCAATTGTGTTTGTCATCAAAGCGGGATACACTTCGGCAGAAAAAGCGAATGCATTAGAATAAAACAATAGTGCTTTTTTCCCGTAGAGTCAAGTTGAACTCATGAGTTTTTTAGATCCGGACACAGAGTGTACAGACGTTTGTGGTGTGGCGAGTAAATGCATCACTGTGGCCTGCCGACGACTTGAGTTCGATCCCGGTGTATGGACCATTTTTGGGGGTCTAAAATTTCCGTCTTTTTGTAGGGACTGGCCTTGACAGAAGGGTCAAAGAAGCTGCCTCCTAAATGATCTGAATTTGGTTGATGGGGGACATCTACTACGACACAATTTCTTTTAAGAAGAAAAAGATGCAATGACTAAAAAGTATTAACGTTACACCAAGATAAAACATTGGTTGAGAAAGGGTTAAAGTGATCGAGGTGAATTTTATTTTACCGAATACACAACAAATTATTTCGACACTGTGAAGGTCAAAAACCACTTACAACGCTATAAAGGCGGGACATTTAGTTTCGAATTCAACTTGGACTGAGCCAAACAAAAAAAGTCGTGTCCCTAGGCCAAGCTGAGCCTCGAGGCACCGAATACCCAACGTCATGCTTACACGTCTGGTAGCTTAACCACCAGATTACCCAACGTCATGCTCACACGTCTGGTAGCTTAACCACCAGATTACCCAACGTCATGCTCACACGTCTGGTAGTTTAACCACCAGATTACCCAACGTCAGGCTTACACGTCTAGTAGTTTAACCACCAGATTGCAAGGTCGTTCCCAGGATTAAATTTCCTTGTTGGCAAAATCGACAATGTTTATTTCACAGACATAAAATTGTATACATTAACATAACAGCAGAGACATTCTTTTAGTTCAACATAGCAACGACAGTTGATCTCAACGCAATTATTTTATCTGATGTAGCCAGTGGTCAAACACAGTGACGATACCCTCTTCTGTCAGAGCCCCGCATTAATTGTTCGTGTGCTCACATGATTTCTTCCTCATTCTCAAATCTCTGCCCCCTTGGTCCTTTTATTGTTTTGTTTTTGTTTGTTTGTGGGGGGGGGGGGGTGGCGAAGGAATGAAAGCCGGATTGAATAAAGAGACTTTTTAGTTGAGTCGTAATAACAGGCGATGAAACAAGGTTAAAAGACAATTAGCAAAATGTAAAAATCCAGGATCACAATCCTTTTTGGTCTGAAAGCTCGACAAAAATATGGTGCTTTGAAAGTGATGCACATCACGTTTATCGATCACAAATGCGTAGTTTTGAGCTGGCCAGCAGTTCCCGTTGGAACAACAATCAGAGCTGATTATTACAAGACGGTTCTTTGAGCAAAGCTGGGACCACCATTAAGAAGAAAGCGGACTGGTTTGCTTGAGTAATGTGCTGTCTTCCATCGTGACAACAAGTAAGCCTGTGCACGGCACACTGCTTGGGGGAAGAATAATCATATGCGGGTGGGAAATCGGGTGTTAATATAATTTTCATCGAATATTCAATTTTGATGAATTCGATTGTCCAACCATTTCAACACGTCGTCATATGATCCGTTATACTAAAGAAAGTTTCCTTCCTGACATAAATTGCCCTTGAATGTAGAAGGCGTTGGTCTTTCCAAGGCTGTTTTGTTGAAAAACAACTCATAAACTGAACCAAGTAACGTCATAATTCAAACCACACATTGCAGCCTTCCCCGTGGGGTTTGGTATCGCTGTTTAGTTCATTTTCCGCTTTTCGTGTTTCCGGAATCGATACCACGCTTGAAACCGTGGGAACAAAATAATTGAGAAATTGTGAGTGAATATGACTTTTTTGTCGTTTTGGGGGGGATTTTTTCATTTCGCAATTTTTTTTTCACAGACAATCGTATTACTCAATTATTTGTAAAACAAATTGGATAAAACTTAAAACTTTGTACATATGTCTATTATGACGTTGTTCACATTCAAACGACAGGACAATTTGATTTGTAAAATACGCTTTAAGATAACTGGGTTTCTTTTTTACTCTACCCCTTAAATTGTCATTACTGTAGGTTCCCTAAAGTGTAGAAGCCGATAAATCTTTGATATTGCTTACATCAAAAATCATTCTTGTACCAATTTAGATCTTAGCCTGTTTTATATTCTCAACAAATTTGAAGGAAGATTGGGTTACAATAAATTGAGCATTAAACTTCTCAATTGATAAATGTTCGTCTTTTTGCGACCATTATTTGCCTCTGTCGACTGAGGACTGTAATAAATGGGAGTTTGGAGTCTTTTTTCTCTATGTCTATCCAACCTAACTGTGTAATTTCAATGTTAAGCCATTTATGAAAAGCCCTCTTTTCAAGATAGAAACATCAGCAGCATATTCCCTTGAAAGGTCACCGCGGCGATCTCTTGGACTTCATGCAGTGGGAAAACCTTGACCACTCCGCTATTCCCAAGACTTAGCACCATGCGACTTTCATATGATACAAAAAACCCAAAGGCCTGGGGGGGGGGGCATTGATATGGAGATGTGGGGGAATAAAATAATTTTTATTGAAACAAGTAAATGCAATGCTATGGCTGAAGCGGACGTAGTCACTGCATGTGTCCCGCTAACGATATCGGACGAAATAGTGCATTGAGATCAACAGTAAGTTGCTGTTTTGAATCGAAATTAATTAATATATTTTCGTAGGTACGCAACGAAATTATATATGTTCTATATACAATTTTAAAGAACATGGAAACGTACTTCTGGGTAGGCGTCGTACCGATGCCACCTCTGAGAACAGAATATAGCGGGGTGAATTAGGTCATGAACTAAAAAGGTCAAAATCTTAATCGAAGCACTTCAGGTTGGGAGGCATGGACCTTCTCTAAAAATACACAATATGCGTGTGTGGCCTCTGCGATGAATAAAATCTCGCAGCGTGAAGCGGGGAACTGGCACAAACAAACCACGTATATCAACTCGCCGTGCGGCTCCACCGACCGTATTTACGTTCACGGTGTGTTGTGGCAACGCCGTGCTGGATGGGGTTACATTATGACCCCAAATCGATCATCGATTAATCTTTTTTTCCTCAAACACCTCGTGTTCTCCTCTCTAGGACCAGCGTTCTTCGCCACTTTCTTTTTTTTTGTGTGTATAAACTGAGTTGTGCATAATGCTGTTTTCTGGAAATTTATCTCTCAGATTCCAACGAGGGTGAGGTTGTGGCTAGAACAGTCCAGCCTAGAGGGTTTACCCGGCATACGTGTGCTTTATTTCACCACGGTGTTTTAGGGGTCATATCTTATCTTTGCCGATGAAGGGAGAGTATTCTAATTGTTCAATTTGTGGATTTCGTTAGACTGTTCTATCTCGTGAACAACAACACATCTTCTGCAGAATTCGTTTTTGGACCGCTTGAAAGTGACGCATCGTCATGACCTGTCTTCGAAGCTACCTGGACGCCAGCAAATGGGCAAAGGTAAACTGGGTCATCAGAAATCGGAAAGTTGATTTGTTGTGACTACTTTTCCTTTTACTGGTTTTGTCTCATTTTTATATTGATATCTTATTAGAAACAGACTAGTTAATAATAATAATAATAATAATAATAATAATAATAATAATAATAATAATAATAATAATAATAAAAATAATAATAATAATAATAATATTAATAATAATAATAATAATAATGATAATAATAATAATAATAACAACAAATAACATTTGTACAGCGCACAATCCCTCTCAACAGCAAGCTCTATGCGCTTTACACCATATTATTACCCCAGCAGACCATAGAACACTCCGAAACATTCTCAACTTCCCGGGAAGCATACAGTGCAAGCAGCTGATTAAGCGCTCAAACACTAACAAACTGACACGATCTTTCGCAGTCTATAGCCGGGTACCCATTCCCACCTGGGTGAAGTGAGGAAAATTCGTGTAAAGTGCCTTTCCCAAGGACACAACGTCGGGCCCCTGACGGGATTCGAACCCACGACCTTACGGTTGCGAGTCCGAGAGCCTAACCACTAGTTACCCTTCTCCAGGTGGGGTCAGTGGTTGAGGGGTGAGGGGAGGGATCGCTGTGGGGGAGATTTAGACCTGCAATACCCCAGCAGTAGCTGCAACTCCTCACTCTCATCTCTTCCCTATCCCTTTACCACTCCACCGCCTTCCCCTAATTTCCAGTCTTATTCATTTGCCTTTCTTTCCATGAAAAAAAATTAATCTATCTTGAATAGAAGTTGAAATATTTAGAATTGAAAGAGGCGGGGGTAACATGGTTTCAGAGGTACAATTAGCTAGAAAATGGTGACCAAAGTTTGATATCTTCTTTAACTTGAATGTCCTTGAAAACTAGAAATGTACATGTTCTGTGCCATTAATCAACGTTTTTCTGTAAAATTTAAATGGGGGTGTATTTTTATATAGACATAAAAGGCACCAAAAATTAAAAATTCGATGAAAATTGTCAAACGGGGGATGCCTTTTTCTTCTGTTTCAATACATTACCTGATTTCACCACGCCGCTTCTCAAATTTCTTTTTCATCTCTCTACTTTTTGTTGTTGTTGTTTGTTGTTTTTGGGGGAGCGGGGGGCGGGGGTGATCTTTTTTTCTTTAATCTAACCTGTAGATGTATATTCGTGTGTGTGTGTGTGTGTGTGTGTGTGTGTGTGTGTGTGTGTGTGTGTGTGTGTGTGTGTGTGTGTGTGTGTGCCTGTGTGTTATATTATATATATAGAAATATATATATATACATATATATATATATATTCATGTTTGTGTGCCTGTTTGTGTGTGTATATAAACACACAGAATACACGCACACAGATACACAGGGGCACAATACACACCTTCATACCGATATATACATGTACATGCAATTATACAATTCAATCACGCGGACCAAAACAATGCAACTATCGTGTTCACCATCTCAGTATCACTATACTGTGGATCCATTCTTCTTTTTTGGCAGATTTGATGTGGTTAGACCCTGTAATCGTCTAAATTTCAATCGATATTTTTATGTACACACAAAACATTTTATTATTTTGAAACCGTCACCGTTATGTTAACCGGTATAGGAACTCCCCCCCCCCTCCCTCCCTCCTTTCCACTTCCAGCCTTGAAAGATACACAAATAAAATAACAGGAAAACTAAACCCACACCAATAAAAGGCGATAGTTAAGACCAGCAACAAGAACAAAGCAGACGCAACATCCTTTAGCCTTTACATAACTTGACCATTAATTATCAATGGCGTGACTTCTGTGCGTATGTGAGTGCGGGGGTGGGGGAGGGGGGTGTGCATGCTTGTGTGTGTTTGTGTGAGTGTATGTGGGTGTGTGTGTGTGTGTGTTTGTGTGAGTGTGTGTGTGTGTGTGTGTGTGTATGTGTGAGGAAGAGAGAGAGAGAGAGAGAGAGAGAGAGAGAGAGAGAGAGAGAGAGAGGTGGGGGGGATCGATAGATAGAGAGAGAGAGAGAGGGGGGGGGAGAAATAGAGAAACTGAGATTGGGGAAATGAGGGAGGGAAAAAGGTGGGGTCGGTGCTGACAGATGATAATTTAACCCTACCCGTACGTCGTGTTTTACTATCGTATCCATACGACGTGGGGAACCCTGTGCCACCACTTTCCAAAGAGGAAATTTACTCGTTAATCTGTTCCGTACGCTTGGCATAGCAGTCTGTCAAAATGATTTTTTGAGAAATACTGAAAGTTTCTTTCAAAGAGATCTTCTTACTACAAGTATTCTAAAATGTGATGAATACAGCCTCGGGGGTACAAAATGACCCCATGGCGTACGGAGAGGGTTGAAAAATAGCGCTTATGCACTCTCTAGAGCATGCTCTGTGCGCTTTATTAGTATTATTACCTCACCAGACCCTAGAACACTCTGGTACTGGCGTCGGTGGTCTAGTGGTTAGGCTCTCGGACTCGCAACCGTAAGGTCGTGGGTTCGAATCCCGTCAGGGGCCCGACGTTGTGTCCTTGGGAAAGGCACTTTGCACGAATTTTCCTCACTTCACCCAGGTGGGAATGGGTACCCGGCTATAGACAGCGAAAGATCTTGTCAGTTTGTTAGTGTTTGAGCGCTTAATCAGCTGCTTGCACTGTATGCTTCCCGGGAAGCTGCGAATGTTTCGGAGTGTTCTATGGTCTGCTGGGGTAATAATATAGTGTAAGTGCATAGAGCCTGCTGTTGAGCGGGGATATGCGCAATACAAATGCTATTTATTATTTATTATTATTACTGTTAAAATGAACAGAGAAGACAGTAAGAAGACAGCGAGACAAGAGTTAAGCGAGATTTGATATATGATTGTCCCCTTTATATTAACTTTATCGACTTTTCAGACATTTGGCCCAAAACAGGAGGGAAATTAAGGTATCAGTGACAAGTGCAGGTCATATGTGAATAATAATTAATTAATTAATGACGAGATTACAGTCACGGCACACAGCAATTAATCTGGCAACACAGACAGTATAACACACACCCTGGTTGATTGCCACTGAACATAGCGCCTGTCTTTGTCAAATTAGCGATTGCTCAAATCACCCCCTCCCCCCTCCCCCACAGAACTAGGAATTGTTTTCGTCTCTTTCAGGAACACACTAGGAGAGTTACCCTCTCGAAACTTGAGGACGTTTGACAATGCTTGAAACAAAACTTAACAACAACTGATCAGTTTACTTCTTTATCGATTCGTTTTTGCTTGAGGCAATGTTCTTTAATCCGGTTTTGTTAAACGTTTTATTATTTTGAAAGATGATCCAACAGATCTGCAAAGAGCCATCAACGCATTTTAACTCGAACTTTTGGAGAGAAAAAAAGTGCAAACTTTCAAGAGTGCAACCAGTACCTTTGGCTAGAAAATCATCAGCACCGTGCGAATGCCGGGGCTTCCAATGCTGAGAAGCTCAGAAGAAAAGCTACTGGTTTACCCCCCCCCCTCCTTTTCCCCACCCAAAAAAAAAAAAATAAGATTTGCTTTTAATCTTCGGACGAGGAACAGTGACACTATCACTTACCGTTCTGCTGTGTGGCAGGGAGTGCTATTCCCATATTGGTTTTTTGCCAGCAATGGTAAGTCTATATTGGAAGTTAAATGATGTGTGACGAAGAAGAGAGGGCTTTCATTGCTTTGTTTATGATTATTGTATTTGGGCTCCTCACTGGAATATATATAGGTCTTTTCAATTTTGCTGGTTATGAATGCTTGCACGCATACACGCACACTTTCGCTTAGACACAAATACTTTCCCTGATGTTTTTGTATAAACTTATCTTCAGTTGCACGAGCGCACACAACAACGCATACACACAAACACACACACACACACAAACACACACACACACACACACACACACACACTTACACACACAAGCACACATACACTACATAAACACGTTTACACACATACACACACATACTTACACACATACACACACAAACACAAACACATACACACATACAAAGGCATAATAATATACACATTTTCATCCAGACACATACACACATACAGAAGCAAACTACGTTCTCTTCAAAATGCAGGTATGCATACACATTTTCTCTTTCTCTCTCTCTCTCTCTCTCTCTCTCTCTCTCTCTCTCTCTCTCTCTATCTATCTATCTATCTATCTATCTATATATCTATCTCGTCATTCAATTCCTTTATGTGTCCTTTATCTTTCTGACATTCAATCTCTTCAACTGCCCTTTATCTGTCTGTTATTGAACGGAACATTTGTTTAAATTCGCTATCCCAAATCGATCAAATTGACCAAAAACAACCCCCCCCCTAACTTTGGTTAGTTTACATTTGTGTTTGTTTGGGTTGGGTGTTTTTTGGGGGGGTATTGTATTGTTTTCGATTGACAAATTTATTTTGTCGTAGACGTATGTTTGGTACTGTGGGCACTACTCGCGGTGACAGTGTGTGTTTACTTTGTTCTGTCCTTATATTATTGCTTTTTTCAGTTACTCTGCTATGATTTGACTTTTAGTCATTATTATACATTATCACTTGCACTAAAAAAACCTAATTCCATCTTTTTGGACAATGAACATCCTTCGTTTCCTCAAATGAAAGTATCAATCAGGAGTAAAGACCTAGGGTTCTGTAACAAGGACAGAAACAGAAGGACGTTCTTACCATCATCCATTAAATTTCTACCATCTTTATCATCTTGATAAAAGTTAGTATTCCTATGGCCTTAAAAAGCATGCAACATCAGAATACAATTGAGTTACAATCAGAATACTGAGTACGCATTTAGCTTAAAACAGTTAATGTTTATAAATATAACTCTCTTCATTTATATAATGCAGGTGACTGTGAGCTTGTTTGTGAGTGAAGGCATACTATTGTAAAATTATGGTTATGTGCACAGATGTGTATGGAAGAGAGGATTACCAATTTAAGTTTATGCAAGCAAATGATATCATTTTTTTAAATACTTATATTTATTGTAGGTATATCTGCCCTCTCGTAGACACACTTTAAATCAAATTTTAAAAAGTGGGCTTTTCGCCCTGTCTGTTCAGGATCAACCCGGGCTAAGATGGATACAGTATCCCAGCAGAAAGACCAAAATATTCGATAAAAATGTTTTCTCCACTCGGGAATCGAACTCGACGAACGGGTCCTTCTCGCACGACAGCAAAGTGCCTAACCACTACACCACAGACGCTGGCTTTTGTACCCATTAAACATGACGTTTTTCCTGCTCAATAAATTATGCAGCACTCAAGAGAAATCATCATCTTAAATCAAAGCTGAAACATTTGTGAAGATATAAGTAATTTTAGACTCTGTAGTAGTAGTAGTTGTATATGGTTTTACGGCGCTCGCAACTGCTAAGGTCATATGAGCGCGCGATTTTAGACTCTATTAGCTACTAGAAAATGAAAATGAAATCAAGTACTCAAAGTAAAAACCTCACCTCCAGAAATGAAGCATCCTTTGGTCAACTCGCCAATAGCATGCAGCAGCTCATAATTATAAGTAGCTCCAATCAGAACAAAATGGAAAGAGTTTAATATCAACATGAATAAATTACGAGGCACTTTTCACTGTAAAACAAACTATATGTGAAGCAGCATGGTGAAATCAGGCGCTCGTCAAAATAATCAAAGTGAAGAAACTGGCATTTTTCGGCAGGTTTGTTAATTTTTATCCAATTTTCGTATATTGGCTCAATCCCTTTCATGCCCATTATGGCACACATTTCTGAGTTAATTTTGCTGAAAAACGTAGATTAAACTCGAACTCTCTAGGTAAGGAAATAACTCATCTTTGGCTGCCATTTTCTCACTAATTTCACCTCTGAAACCAGGTGACCCCGTTCTCCTTCATTTGCGAATATCTCAACTTCTGTTCAAAATAAATGGATATTTTTTTTCAACCGAAGCAAGACAAAAGAACAAGCTTTCAGATGCTACCAATAACTCTACATGCCCCAAATTTGACGAGAGCCTGATTCCACCGCGTCGTAACACATATTTTTTAAGAATTCGGGTAGACCAACACACTAAAGATAAATTAAATTCCAAACGTTTAAATTAATCTAAAAAAACACCACAACAATTTTTGTCAGTAAACAAAACAGAAACAAAACGAATTAATTGTGGATAAAGAAAAACTTTTTTCACTGATCGTTGTGACCTCTCAAATTAATGATTGGTCACTACATCTATGGCATGGTAATAATAGGTAAACTAAAAGAAAAGAGATCACAAATCTATCTTCCAATCAAGCAGTAAAAACACACGAAGTATTTCCCTTTTTCCGATATAGAAAACCCACAGATTATAGACCCAAGTAAAAACATTTTTAGAACTTGAAACAGATTAGATCTCAGTATATAAATATATATCTCTAGCTTCCCCCACCCCCCTCCCATATCTCTCTCTCTCTCTCTTTCTCTTTCTCTCTCTTTCTCTATCTCTGTGTGTCTCTCTCTCTCTCTCTCTCTCTCTCTCT